CTGGAGCAATACCTTTCTTGAGAGGCAGCAGTCTGGGCCCCAAGTCTTCCCGCCGCAGCCTGGAAAGGCCCGGCGGAGGCAGTTCCGGGAGGGCATCGGCTCACCGGTTCTTGTCTCATTAGCCATGAACTTCGGAATATCGTTGATCTTTCGCGGGGTCAAAGAGGGCCGTGGGCAGCGCCGCATTCGGGCATGCAGGTCAGACTGAGGACTCGAGAAGTCAATATGCCCAAGAGAGTCATTGCGCCCTGCCCCGGGCTCGACATGGGCATGCCAGGACCCGACCTACCTTGGGAGTGGCGTTCCACTCGAGCTGAGCAGATGGTCGCCGAAGGACTGGCCAAGATCCAGCCAACTGTCGAAGATGAGATTGCGCATCGACATTGCAGTTGCAAACCAAGGCCCGACCTTGCCTAGCTGCACATGGCCTTCGCGTTGACGGCGGAGAGCTTCTGTGCGCATCGCAACACCGAGATCGACTTCGACGGCAGCGAGCATCGTCGAGGATGGGCAGTCCAGACCATGGGGGTCTCCATCGCCCCCGCGACGGCGAGAGGCTGGCAGGCAGAGTATCGTGGGCTCAGTGCGTGGGCAACTCTCCATGCACGGGTGACAGACTGGCTACATTTTCGGGAACGGCAGAAGGAACCAGCGCAGGTGGAGCACGCTTGGCGGATAGTAGATGCCAGCCTTAGCACAGCATGGCCCCTGCCACGCCTTCTGTCTCACGAGAGGGGGGGCGCACCTTGCGCGGTATCAGTAGCATTGTTGCGTTCAAATATATAGAAAGCTGCGAGGAGGAGCTCAAGCATCTCGGCGGGGCGGTCGAACACATTGAGCTCCATCTTGCGCGCGCCGGCCATGAAAGTTTCAAGGGCTGGATCCGACAGTCGCTCTCCAAAATCGCAGGTGCGCTGCATGATTGGACCTAGGCGTGGAGTGAGGAGTCGCCCGATCTTGCTCCTGAGAAGCGCCCGGACGGTAGCGCCATTCAGGTCCACATAGAGGCTATTGATCAGCAGGCCAACTTCTGGGAAGCCCTGCGGTGCTCGAAGGATTGTGCGGGGCCCGAAGGCAGGTGGGGAGAGTTTGCTCTGGAGGCCAGCGGAGAGCCCCTCGAGGACTTCACCATGCAGCAGCTCTTTGATGCCCTCAAGTCTTTGAAAGGAGTAGTAGGAGCCGGGGCTGACCAGCAGAACCCAGGTGGCCGATCGGCCCATCGCCCTGACGCAAAGAAGATTCTTCGGGAAGTTGATCAGTTCTACGACCGTGTTCGGCTTCTCCAGGTGGCCGGCATGGCCAGGAGGGTCGGCTGTCCCCTTCCAGCGCTAACGCTCGGTTCGGCCATTCACCGATGCCCGAGGAGGCTCTGAGCCGAAGGAGTCGTCTCCAACCTAATATGCCCGGACAGGTCCTTCACCGCGGGCTGCAATCAAGGCGTGGACCTTGCTAAGCTTTCTCGTTGGCTGGTTTTAGAGACACGCGCGCAGATTTTAGACTCCTAGACTTCTCCACGTGGGTAGACGACCTTGGACAGACAGAGATTGGTCGGGGGGATGATGTTTTTTTCTCGCGCCAAGGCGGTGGCGATCGCTTTGGTCACCAGACTTCACAAAACTGGCTTCGAAGTTTCCCGCAAGTCTCTGCTGGTCACGCATCCGCCTCGCCTTGCCAGAGAGATTCCGAGTCAAGATTCGGCTTGCCCTGGCTGCAGCTGGAGCGCTGCTCAAGTGCCCCAGGCAGGTCAGGGATCTGGGCATCGACGGCCACGCGGCCAGACGTGCTACTTCAGTCATCAAATGCCGCGTTGAGAAAGGTCAAAAGCGAGCCGCCCAGATTGTCAAACTGGCCAGAGCAGTGCCCCAAGCGCGCGTCCTGGCCAATACCGGTCACAGACGCGCAGTCACTGACGGGCAGATGGCACAAGGCCTCAGCCCCAGCATTCTTCTGAAACTTCGGAGCTCGGTAACAGGCCTCACCGGTTACAAGAGGCCAGGAGGCTGCCCAACCATTTGCAGAAGACTAGGGTTCGAAGAGATGATGACCCCATGACCCAGGGGAGACTGCAAGTTGTCACATCCTGGCTGGAGAGTTTAGCTCGCATGCCTGGGCGGATGCAAGCCATTGCGATCGTCTGGAGCAGGACGGCCACTCATCTGCAGGCGGCCGCCAGGCACTGGGCCCGAGTCAAAGGCCTAACTAATGGGAGCTACAGTCGCCAGCCGGATGGGCCTCCACTGGGAAGCCCTTGGCCCCGCTTCTTGGAGGACCCCAGAGGCGAAGTCCTTCGCATTCTAGAGCTTGACAGAGAGCACCTGCTCAATTTTGGCGAGACCACGCAAGCGTTAGATCATGAGTGTTGGATCCGCGCTGCCAGCCACCATCCGTTGTGCAAGGGTGCCCAGGACGGTGTAGATTTCACAGTATTGAAGCAGCGTCTTCTGAACGTCGCAAGGAATACAATAAAGCAGGAGTTTGCGCATGGTGGCCAAGGGGGCGCTGTGGCCAGCAGCGAGACGCCGTGGCAGCGAACCCCGCGGGGGGGTATTCTTATCGCCCCTCCTGCCGACGGCCCCCTTGCTGCTGCTGGTGCCCTTGCTGCTGCGGCTGCCCCCTCGCCCCTGGGCAACCCGAGGCCCCCGCGGGCCCCCGCTCCATTTGGTGACCCCGATGGAGGCCCTTTGTAGGGGGAGGGCCCGCTCTCGCAAGAAGAGGGGGGCATGGTCGAATGAAAGGCCGACCAGGCCCTGCTCCACAGCGCCCCGCCCAATTTAGAAGCGTGGAATTCCCAGTTGTGCCCCAGATGCCAAGAGTGCGAAGAGCTTCTGTTCCACCAGATCTTGGAGCGCCGTTGCAATTTCGAGCTGCCTGACGAGGGACTGCATTGGGATCTCCAAGGCGATGCGCGCGAGGGGTGCCAGGATGAAGCGCGCTTCTGGCCGCGTGGCCCCACGCGCTTGGCCTGGGCCTATAACTTCCAGCACTTGGATATCCAAGGGGGGAAAAAGCTGGCCCCTCCCTGCCAGGTGAAAAAATGCGCTTTCCCCCGTGGGGCCGATGGCGGAGGTGATGGGTCAGGGGTCCTTTACTCCGCTGGCCCTAGGGATCGGAGGCGCGGGCGGGGGGTGGGCGGGTGGCTGGGCGGGCGGGTGGGTGGGTGGGTGTGGGGGGGGGGGGGGGGGGGGGGCATTTTCATCGGAGAAGAGGTTTTGGGATGGGCCAAGGGGCTCCTCCCTACATACAAGCAGGCTGTCCCTTTGTCTGGGTTGTGGCCCTGCAATCACATCGCCCAACTGACGGAGGGTGACCTTATTCTCGTCGGTGAGAATGATTCAGTGGCCTGTGGGATTCATGCGGTACCCCGCTTTCACCACGCTCAGAACCCCACGTTGCGGGACCTGTTCTAGCAGGGGTGTGCTGGGCGTCGTGTGAGAGCCGTCCAAACCAAGTCTCATGCGTCAGCCTCCGATGCTGTGCCAGTTCGGCTAAGCCGCTTCGAGTTTTAGGCGGCTAATTATGTTGCGGACAAGCTAGCAGAGGAATGTGCCAGGGACGGCCATATCCCCGATTGGGCCATCACCCAAGTGCTTCGGGTCGGCACTCTCAGCAGGAGAGTCCAGGCGCACATTCTGACGGTTTCCCATCAAATAGCCACGAGCGCGGCCCAGATTTACGGTGCTAGCAGCGCTGAGGACATAAAGAGTGAAAACAAGCGGCGGGGGCTTTCCAAGCTAGATGTCCGCTCGGCGCTTTGCACCAACACTACACATTGTTTGGTGGACAGTTCTGGCAAAGCCCTCAGGTGCTCCAGATGCCTCACGGCCCCGCCGGGAGCAGCGGAGGACTGGCCCCGATCGAAGTGCCCAGGGCTCCCTGCGAGGATCCACCCGACTCACAAGCGCCTCCAGAGGTTTCGGGGCGTTTTGTGGTGTCGTGGGCGTGGCGGTTGTGCAGATTCCACGCTTATTAAGCTCTGTAAGCCTTGCTTTGAGACGATTTCGGAGCATGGAGAGCGAGTCTTCAAAGCGCTAGAACCCCATCTGGAGCTCCCGCCCCCAGTTGCGTTTTTCTTGATGTGGGGAGGGGGCCCTGTCGCGGATCAGTGGCTAGGTGGATCGCAGCCTAGTCGGTGACTGACATATTCCGAGGGGCCCCCTTCCGAACTTTTATATAGGGGCTGAGCCATGTGGACACCGCCCTTTTAAGGTAGGCAGGAGGTAGGAGGAGGAGGAGGAGGAGAAACAAGAGGAGGAGGAGGAGGAGGAACAGGAAGAGGAGGAGGAGGACGACGAGGAGGAGGAGGAGGAGGAGGAGGACGAGGAGGGCGAGGACGAGGAGGAGGAGGAGGAGGAGGAGCAAGAGGAGGAGGAGGAGGCGGAGGAGGGGGAGGAGGAGGAGGAGGAGGAGGAGGAGGAGGAGGAGGAGGAGGAGGAGGAGGAGGAGGGGAGGGAGGGGGAGGAGGAGGCGGAGGGGGAGGAGGAGGGGGGGAGGGAGCGACGACGCACACCTCTGCAGTTGATGCCAGGCACAGATCTGACGAGGAGGAGGCGACAGGATAGAGAAAAGGGGAGGAGGGCGAAGGGAGGAGGAACTGGGAGCTCGGCGGCGCTGCCAGAGGTCAGGGAGGTTCCGGCATTGCCTCCTCCTCCTTCTCCTGCGCCTCCTCCCCCTCCTCCCCCTCCGTCTCCTCTCTCCTTCTCCCTCCTCCCTTATTCCTCACTGCTGCCACCCCCCCGTCCTCCCCCTCATCATCCGCCTCCTGGCCCTCGACTTCATCTCTTCCCCTTTCTCGCTCTCACCCTCGTCCACACTCCCTCCCTCCCCCGCAGTCATACGCTTCATCATCCTCCACGTCCTCGTCCCCGTCTCCCTCATCTTTCCTCGTCCTCTTCCTCCCCCCCACCCTACTCCTTTTCGTCGTCCTTCTCTTCTCCGAGGGACTTGGGCGGCGACTCTGTGAACGAGGGATACTGGAGGCCAGGGAGCGCGGCTACGGCAGCATGCGGTTCAACATGGTGGTGTCCACGAACGCCGCCGCCATCAGGGTGTGCCAGGCCTGCGGCTTCAAGATCATGTGCACGCTGCCGCTGTCCTTCAACCATGCCAAGGATCGGGGGACGTGAGCTGACCACTTCGCCGGTCCTGGCCAGGCCCATCCTGGGTTCCGGATCGATGTGCGCACCTGCATGCCCTCCTCCTGGCCTGGCCAGGGACGCGTATGGTTCGACCGTGTGTCCAGGATCGGCCCGACCAGGATCGGTGATGTGGTCCGATGACGCCCCCCGCAAGGAGGGGCTCGTCGACACGCACGTGATGTTCTGCGCGCTCGATTCCGCAGGGGGTAGCGCGGGGAGCAGGCACAGATGACAGAAATAACGGCACGCACACAAGAGCAGTCGGCTCTGTAACCACACACACGCACACACACACGCGCACACAGACACGGACGCACACGCTTATTTTCCCACACGCTGAAGTGCCCAGTCCTTTGGTCGTCAAGAAGCCAGAACGCGGGCAAGACATGTATATGCTTTGTGCAACAAACACACGTACACACAACACACACACACAACACATACACAAACACACACGCACACACACTCACACACACACGCACGTGCTCCGCGCGCTGCGGAGGGGGGCCCAGCGCTGACCCAAGAAACCCGCGCGGACCTCCGCAAGTGTGCGCTTGTGCCGCTTTCTGCTCCTCCGCAGGCAGAGGCGGAGCTTCCCGAGGGCGGTGCGCGATGTGGCCACGCCGCAGTCCGCCGTCTCCAGCCCGCCGCCGCACCGGGAGCGCTCCCACGACTTCACACCGGTGCCCCCTTTGGGTGAGAGATCGAACATCTCCACAGAGGTGCCACCGATGGGTGTGTGTGTGCACAGGTGGGAAGCGCTCTGGCGGTCACTCGCCCCCTGTCGAGCTGATGCCTCCCCCTGACGGCCCTCCGTCGAGTTGATGCCCCCCCTCGATGCCCCCTGAAGAGTTGATGCCCCCTTCAGTGCCACCCGTTAGTTCCATCCCTGAATGCACGCTATCGAGTTGATGCCCCCCGTTGAGTTAATGCCCCCCCATCCCCCCCATGATACCCCCCGTAGAGTTGATGCCCACCGTGATGCCTCCCGTTGATGGCTCCTCTTGATGCCCACCTTGATGCCTCCCGTTGATGACCCCCCAGGCAGATTCGCCGGTGCACATCAGCGAGGACATTGCCATCCAGCTGGAGAAGGTGGGGAGCCTGGCGGAGCTGAAGGCTCGATGGTCCTCAGAACTTGTGTCAAGTAGCTAAAAGTGTGTGTGTGTGCCCCGTTCGACTCCGCCGCTAGCACATGGCCTGTGCCAGCCTTCACTGTACACCGCCTGCGTCGTATCGAAGGGCGCTCGGCGAACGAGCACACGGTGGCGCTAGCACACGTTCTGATCATCATCGAGAGGCGCTGGAGGCGCCCTCGAAGACCCGGGCGTACGGAGACTGGATGATGTGGATGGTGCACCGCGCGTGGCTCAACGACCCCGAGCTGACGGAGCTCGACTTCAGCGGCATGCGGATGCCCGACGGGCACGTGGAGCGCCGGATCGCGCCGAGGCTCAGCAGCGTCTCACCTGCCCCCCGGGACGATCGAAATGGGCATTCGGAAAGAATGGGTACAATGCCCAACAGCAGTTCCTGCTTTTTCAATCGCTGTCCGCGCCGCCACGGATGTTGTTCATTGAAAAAGCCGCCTGCCCAACAGCGGCCTCTGTCGATTTTGGACAGGATCTGTTGTTGGGCATTGTGCCCATGTTCTTCGTACCCATTTCGGGCGTCCGAAGCCCCCATTTCCACTTGGCCAATGGTATCCCTCGGAGGAGGAGGAGGAGGGGGAGGAGGAGGAGGGAAGGAGGAGGAGGAGGAGGAGGAGGAGGAGAAGGAGCAGGAGGAGGAGGAGGAGAAGGAAGTACCAGCACCGCTGCCCCTGTCTCGATCTCGCCTTCTCGGACCTCCTGGGCCCTCGTCGCCACCGCTGTTTTCGCTTCGAAATTCCGGTCAGAAAGCACCCGGGGAGAGGTCCGTGGAGTAGCGGTATGGTTCCCTCCAGGTGTCTTCCAAGCTCGGCCCCACCAGCCCATCCTGGGTGGGGCTATGCCCCGCGAAGCCCGAAGGAATGGGCCTGGTGGGCAAGCCGGCCAGTGGGGCCAAGGCCACGCCAGTATGGCTGGGGATCGAAAACACGAAAACAAAAACAAACAAACAAGCAACAAACAAACATCAAACAACAACAAAACAAACATTCAAAACCAAAAAACAATGCGCTCTGAGGCTCATGGAGGCCGTGGGGTCCAACACGCACTTGCGCGTGCTCTCCCTCTCGAGCGCCAACGTGCAGAAGGCCCAGGGCGTGCAGCTCGCCGAGTCGCTGCGGAAGAATACGACGCTGCGCGTGGTCAACCTGGAGGGCAACCGCCTCGACTCCATGGCCGTGCGCGCGCTGGCGCTGGCCGTGGCGGACAACCCGAACTGCGGCATCGAGCACTTCCGCCTCCAGCACCAGGCCTCGCCTCCCAAGGGAAAGAGCAGCCGACAGCTTAAAGCAGCAGCAGCAGCAGCAAGCGCGAAGCAGCAAGGAGAGGCAGCAAACACGGGCAGCACAACACAGACACACCTACACTGCACGCGTACCTACATACATGCGTTCATGCATACCTACCTACCTACCCACCTGCCTGCCTACCTACCTACCTACCTACCTACCTACCGACCTACCGACATACATACATACATTCATGCATGCATGCATACATGCATACATTAACCATTCCATACATACATCCATACATACATACATACCTATATACATACATACATGCATGCATACATACAGGCATATATACATACATGCATACATACTCACATGCGCACATACATCCATACCTACATACATACCTGCAAACATACAGACACCTACATACACACATACGTACATACACACCTACATGCATGTATGCATACATACATACATACATACACACATACATACATACATACATACATACATATATGCACACATACATGCATGCATATATACATACATGGACACGGACCTACCTACCAGTCTACCTACCTACCTACAGATCGACCTACCTACTTACATGCACACCCGCAGTCTCAGGACAGACGGACCGACAGGCACACCAGCATATATATACATATATATATACCAGTGTATGCACAGGTACACACATGCGTACACACATACATGCATACCTATATGTGCATGCCCATACATTCATACATGCATACATACAAGTGCACATGCATACACAATCATATCTACACATAGTCAGATATGCATGCATCTCTCCATACATACATGCACACATGCATTCATACATACCTACATGCATACCTACATACCTACATACCGAACTGGTACACCTATTTGCACCAAATACATAGATGCATTCATGCATACATCCACCCATCCATCCATCCATCCATGCATGCATACGTACATACATGCATAGTTGTTCACACAAACGCATCTATGTATACATATGTGTGTGCATACATGCCGACATCTCAAACCATAACACACCATGTCCGCCTCCGGCACCAGGGCCAGGCGGGCGTGTCGTTCGGCAGGCCCGCGGAGGAGGCCGTGGGGCAGATGATGCAGAGCAACCAGACCATAGTGAAGCTGGGCTTCGAGTGCGACGACCGCCACTGGAGGAACGTCATCGACGCGGCCCTCGTGCGGAACAACGACGCCTCACGCCGTCAGCAGGCAGCCGCCCAGGACGCCCTGCGCCCCGCGTCCCAGGAGGTGACGCTGGGCCAGGTGCTCCTCCAGTCGGCGCCCGCCGCCTGCACCGAGAGGTCGTTCCTGGAGGACGGCTCCTTCCGCGAGCTCTACCGCAGCTACGTGGTGCAGACCGGGAAGCTTCCTACGATCAAGCAGCTGCTCAGCTGCGCGAAAAACAGCGGGCAGCCCTTGCAGTACTCGGCCGCGGCGCCCTTCGTGAAGGAGTGCCGCACTTGGTTCCTGCAGACGGCAATCGGCACGAACGTGCTCGCGACCGATGCCTTCGGGATCGGCAAGGAAGGAAGGATGGTGGACTGGTCGGAGACCAATGACTGCTGGAGCTTGGGGACCCCAAAGATGTGTAGACCTACCTATTTGTAGCCTCACGAGGGTGGACAAGTTGACACAAGCAGCGAACTTCATCTTGTTGTTCGGGCGTAGCCCGATGCTTTTTTGTGTTGAACGGGTCGCACCCCTTCGCTGGCCATTGATGTTCTGCCGCCGAGCGCGCATTTCACAGCGCAACCACTGGCAAGCTGTTCAGTTGTTCGGCCGCCGAGTGCGCAACATACAGTCAACCCGTGTAGTAAGGATGCGCGATAAGGATGCAAGGGCCTTGGACGCCCATTTCAAAGCCTTTCCAGCGGGGCGCGGCCAACGACAGTGGCCAAGGATGGACCGAGGAGGCTAGGATGCAAGGGTACCTATGGGTAGGCCGCCCATCCTTACTTTGCGGGTTGACTGTATGGCACAACAAGCAGCAGGCCGGTCTATCGTCGGCCGCCGAGTGCGAAATTTGGTGCGCAACCTACAGCAGGCCGTTGGATTCTCGGATGTTGAGTGCGCAACCGATGGCGCAACCAATAGCAGACCGGTTTCGTTTTCTGGTCAGCCGCCGAGTGCGAAACGTATGGCGCAACCAAATGCAGGCCGTGCTACTATCAGCCGCCAGTGCGCAATCTATAGGTCAACCAATCAGCATTGTATGATTGGCCAAGTGCACAATGTACGGGATATCCAATAGCCAGCCGATTCACTCGTGGCCGCCGAGTGCGCAACCAACGGCGCAACCATCAGCAGGCCGTTTTCTTGTTGACCGTTCGTTGCGCAACCGATGAAGTAACCAATCTCAGGCCGTTTGTCATTGGTCGGCGAGTGCGCGACGCATGGCGCAACCAACAGCATCCCGTTGTATGATCCGTCGCCGAGTGCGCAACGTATGGCGCAACCAACATCAGATTTAATTATTCTCGGTCGCCGAGTGAGTAAGCTACGGCTCAACCAATAGCAGGTTATTCTATTCTCGGTCGAGTGCACCCATGGCGCAACCAATAGCAGCAGGCCGTGTCACTGTCGGCCGAGGAGTGCGTAAACTATAGCGCAACCCATGGATGGAGCATGGCGCAACCGCTCCGCCGGGATGGCGGAACCCATGCATCGCGCAACCAGCGGCGCAACCCACGGATGGCCCAATGCATGGCGTACCCCATGATGACGCAGGCTATGCGGGGCTACGCCCGACTCATTCGCGCCGTGTTTTGCCGGCCGTTTATGACCCAAGCGGCGAAGTCGTCGTGTGTGTGTGTGTTTTAACAACGTCGGGCTCTGGAGCTCTCCACTACATCGTTCGCACAGGCGTTGCACCGCCCTCAGATCCTGGCGATGCAACTTTCTTTCGCCCTGGACTTTTCTGTTCGCCCGCGTCGGGGCCCTGGGACCCTCACAAATCGATCCAGCTCGCAAAAACGACTCAGAAAGATGGGGTCCAGTCGGGCGGGGCTAAGACAAGGACAAATCCGTTCCAAAGCGTTCTGGAGCGCTCTCAGAGCGCTACGGAACGCTCTGAGAAGGCCGCGGCGCCCGAGACACATTCCAGAGCCGCCAGATCTCAGAGATTCTCGAACTTACCCTCGCCCGATGTTTTGTCCCCATCCTGGCCTCGTCTTATATAGGTCCAGGTCTCGGATCGTGATCCCTCGCGCTGCTGCAGTGTTGGGGGCAGCGTCAGATCTCAGGTGATGGGCCTGTTTTCCACCACCACCACCACAAGTTGGAGGGGGAGGGGGTCCTCCTCCTCCTGCTTTCCTCCTCCTCCTCCTCCTCCTCCTCCTCCTCCTCCTCTTCGTCCTCCTCCTCTTCGTCCTCCTCCTCCTACTCATGGTGGTGGTGGTGGAAAACAGGCCCATCACCAGGGCGGGGGGGGCGGCCTGAGCTCCTCCTCCTACTTATGGTGGTGGTGGTGGTGGTGGAAAACAGGCCCATCATCAGGGCGGGGGGGGGGGCCTGAGGCCCACCCCCGACTTGCCTCTGGAGGGCAGGTGGCTGCGGCGGAAGCACACGCCCGCCCCGTGGCCGCTTCGGGACGCCGGGCGCCTGCGCCGCTCCCGCCCTCCAGCGGCTCCGGCGGCGAGCGAGGGTGAAGCAGTGGCGACGCGTCCTGGCGTGCCTGTGGGCCTACCGAACAGTGTTCTGAGAACCTTTTGCGGTTTCCACGGGATGATTTTAGAACATTTCAAGTTGGGATTGTTTCTTTTAGTTTATAATTTGTCAAAAAAAAAAAAAAAAAAAAAAAAAAACATAAAAAAAGAAAATATGAAAACAAAAAAAAACAAAAAAAATGTTTATGTTCTGACAACATTGTTTTTGTTCTTAGCATATTTTGGGGCTCTACGAACCTTCCGTGGTAGGCCTACAGGAATGCGGGGACGGTCGGTCCCTGCTCAAGAGGGGGGGAGCGAGGAGGAGAAGGCTTCTCAGAAGGCGGCGGGGCTTCTCAGAGGGCCTCCCGCCCTCTCAGAGGTTTCCTGCGTCTTCCCGGGAGGCCCAGAACACTTCTCAGGAGGCCGGGGGATTTCCGAGCCTGCTGAGGAGGCCCGCCCCTTCTCGCTTCCCCCCCGCGCTCGCCGCCGGCTCCAGGAGCATCGAGCTCGTCGCCCACGAGGACGACAAGCACTACGCCTTCCGGTCCAGCAGGGAGCCGGCCTTCGCCGTCTCCGATGCGTGGGTGGAGTGGCTGGGCCAGGAGCGGTGCGCAGCTTGACTGAGTCTGTGGCCCCAGCCCTCGGCTCACCTCCTCCTCCTCTCCCCGTCCCTCCCTCCCCCCCTCTCTCTCTCGATCTCTCTTTCTCTCCCTTTCACACACACACACACTCTCTCTCTCGCTCTCTCCCTCTCGCTCTCCCTCCTGACCTTCGCTCGATGTGCACAAAAAGCGGCAGGAGATGTCTGCCCGTGATCGGCCTCAGAGGGCCCTCGCTGGGCTCCTGGACGGTCAAAAACAGCCTGGCCTGGGATGGAAAAGCGATCCAGAGGAAAAGGTCCAAAGTTCCAGGGCTCCACGCTGCAAAAAGAACAAGCCGTCAGCGGTTTGGGTCTCTCTTTCTCTCTCTTTCTCTCCTTCCTCTCGCGCACCCGCGTCGGGCCCGCTGGCGCAAGCCTCCTGCCCCTTCTCGTCCTCCCCGCTCCCTTCCTTTCGGCGGCGAGCCCAGGGGGGAAGTAAGAAAGAGAACGCCTTCTCAGAAGGTGGCGGGACTTCTCAGAAGCCCTCCGGCCTTTGAGAAGTGTTCTGTGTCTTCGGGGAAGGCTTAGAACATTGTTCAGAAGGCCGGCCCGCCCCCTCGCCGCCGATCCTTCCCCGCTCCCCCTCCTTCCCCTTTCCTCTTCCTCCTCCTCCTCCACCTTCCTCATCCATCTCCTCCTCCTCCTCCTCTTCCTTCTCCTCCTCCTCCTCTTCCACCTCCTCCTCGTCCACCTCCTCCTCCTCCTCCTCCTCCTCCTCCTCCTCCTCCTCCTCCTCCTCCTTTCCTCCTCCTCCTCCTCCTCCTCCTCCTCCTCCTCCGCCTCCGCCTCCGCCTCCTCCTCCTACTACTACTCATCTTTCTCCTCCTCCTCCTCCTCGTCCGCCTCCGCCTCCTCCTCCTGCTACTACTACTCCTCTTCCTCCTCCTCCTCCTGGGCGGAGGAGGAGGAGGGGGAGGAGGAGGGGGAGGAGGAGGGGGAGGAGGGGGAGGAGGTGGAGGAGGAGGAGGAGGTGGAGGAGGAGGAGGAGGAGGAGGGGTGGAGGTGGGCGCGCCGGCCCCAGCATTGCCCTGGGGCTCCTGCTGCTGCAGTGGAGGTTGAGTCGTAGGTCGACCCTGCCAAGTCGAGTGCACCCTCGTGTCCTGGGTTCCGCGGCCCATGCCTTCCAGATTCCTGTGGCGATGTGGCCCTTGGGAGGGTCTTGTGTCCTCTCGCGTGTCCTCTCCAATCAACCTCGACTGTAATCAATCTCCCGGACGTGCTGCTTCTCCTCCTCCCTTGTCTCCCTCCCCTGCACTCGCAGACTGCCAGAGCTTAATGCGACATGCACGCGTTAGAACTTTAAGAGCGAACGCTCGCACAGCGAGCGCCCGCACGGCTCGACCCGGACGGTCTCCAGTTCCTGGTGCTCTTTCCGCGAGCCCACCTGTGTGAAAGTGCAGATCCTCCTCATCATGCTGGTCCGTAGTTTCTCTCCTCCTCCTCCTCCTTTCGACTCGCACCTCGATGACCCTGGCCCCATTCTTCTCTTCCTCCCTCCAGCCGGAGGAGCCGAGGAGATGCACGCGGAGGAGGCGGAGGCGGAGGAGGGGGAGGAGGATGCGGGGGAGCAGGAAGGCTGGCGGGAAGAGGAGGAGGGGGCGGAGGAGAAGCCCGGAGGAGTGAAGAAGAGGAGAAGCGTGGAGGAGTGTTCGACTAGACGTAAAAGTGACCCTTCGCCGGAGTGACCTTTGGTGCGGGCCCAATGGGGTCCCTCCACCGCTGAGCGCGAAGCGATAGCAGCGGCTTGCGCGCCCAGGTTTGGCCACCCCGCGTCCCCCGGTAATTATCCCGCGCACCAAAGGTCACTCGTGCCCAGGGTCACTCTTGCGTATAGCCGACATTTCCTCATGACCTTCCAGGGCCAATTTCGATCCGATCGATCCGATTCGATGCCGATTCTGGCTGGGCCGATGTCGATGTTCCGACGATTGGGTGTGCGGCCCAATGCTTGCATGGCTCCGTTGTGCACCCCAGCGCAGCCGATCCCATCCGAAGTCGGCTCCGTGTCGATGCGGCCCTACAGTGGGGGCGCGCATCAAGAAACCGTCTGAGTTTCGCCACGGCACTCTGGTTTTCTTCGTTCCGCGCGCTGCGCGGTGACTTCACACGGTCGTCAAAGAAGTTGATTCTTTCAGGATGCTCGGGTTTTTCCCTCAGGTGCACCTCGCGCGCAGGTTCCCAGGGTTGGGTCTCTTGCGAGGCTTTCGTGCGACTGCTCCCGTACTGTATCCGACGCACGTTCTGGTCCGTTCTGGCCTCCCGAGTCGGCGCTGACCGATCCTGCCTTCGCCTCAGGGGAGGACACATCGACCCCTAGCCGCTCACTGATCGCCGATGGGATCAAGTCGGGCATGTCCCTCTGCAGAGTGAATTTGCAAGAAACCTTCCAAACACAATCGGGTGACGATTTGTTTGACTATGGTTGACGTGTTTCTAGTTTGTTTAGGGGTATTTTGAATTGTTCGTCCAAGCTCCGCTTGTAGGGGGACATGCCCGACCTAACGATAGGAGGCCGATAGCCCACCCCGCCCAGGAAGGTGCGGTCTCGCTATCGAGGGCATACCGCCGAGACATCGGCGATAGGGGGCTGAGGGGCCTGGTCACCCCGTCCTCAGGGGTGTCCTACTCTGCCCGTCGTAGTCTCCCTTGTTCTCTTACGGGTTACTTGCCTTGGTCAGCCCTCCCACTCCGCACCCCCAGCGGCGACCGCCGCTGCATGGGGGGGGGATGCGCCGCTTGGCAGTCCCAGAGCCAGCAGCAACAGCAGCAGCAAGAGGGGGGAGGCGGCAAGGCAGGGAAGGGGAGGGAAACGGAAGGAGGAAGGAAGAGGAGGTGGAGGAAAAGGAGGGAAGTGGAGGAGAAAAGGGAACCGCCGATCTTCATCACCTCCATCATCCCTTCCCCATATTTGGTGGGCGTGTACTCCGTGCTCTCTGCCTCGCAGTCCCGACTTTCTGCTTCCGTGGGTTGCCCTGTGTTGCTGCCATACGCCCACCAGGTTTAATGTGTCGCGCGTTGCGCCTGAGCTGGATCTTTGCATTGGCGCCCTTGTCGTCGCACGGCCGCTGGGATCACAGCCATCGGAGTCCGCCGCACGTCAACAGCAGCAGGTGGAAGGGGAGGGGGAAAGGGGGTGAAGAGGAGCAGGAGGAGGAGGGAAGAGTAGGGGGAGGAGGAGGAGGAGGAGGAGGAGGAGGAGGAGGAGGAGGAGGAGGAGGAGGAGGAGTAATAATAATAAGAATGCGGCATAGATGCGCGCCGTGTGTCTGGTTTCCCACAAGTCCGAGGCGGGGCAGGCCTAGGTAGGCCTTCGACAAGAACTAAAACGTAAGCACTCTCAGAGTGCATGTGGACAGGGACAGCGAAAAAACAGCATCATACTCGCATGGCTGCCAGCCGAAGCTGGTTTAATCCAGGAAAAAGCGAGAGGGCCTAGACAGGCCCCAACAGGCTTCATACAAACCCTGGGGAACCGTCGCACCGACAGGTCGGGGTACGACGCTCTACACGGACGTAAATACCACTGATTGCAACAAGCAGGCGGCACGGCGGCAACGCAGCAGCGATGGCAGCACCTCAAGCCTGGAACGGGTCCAGGCACACATACACGTAGGACACAAGACGAGGAGCAGAGGGCACACGCGCGGCGCCACGACCAGGAAGGTGGTGAAGACGACGGCGTGCGCGGAGGAGGTAGCAACGTAGTTGCCCATGGCGAGGCGAGCAAATAGTACGCGCCCCCTCCATCAGAAAAGTAGTGTTTGGACTCCAATGCACTGCACCCAAGCCACTCAGTAGAGAGTCAGACCGTACCATTCAAATCAGGTCGATCTGTAATTCCACCACATCCAGCATACGTGGTCCCGCCAGCTGGTACCCTCTGCCTCCAAAGTCCGCAAGCGTCACCCCAGCTGGTACCCTCTGCCTCCACGCTTGGCCCACGCCAAAGCGGGAGGTGAGCAGTGCATATTGGGGGACTGGCAGCGTAGGAGGTGAGCAGTGCATATTGACAGGGCATATGGGTAAGTAGTTATTCAGGTAGACTATGTTGCACATTTCTTCCATTGCCCCTGGAGGAGCGGCCCCGACCGCGCGCCGACCGCCCACCTCTTGCAGGGCCCTGGCGAACAGGTGGCGCAAACGCGTGCCCGAAGGCACTGAGCGCGCGTCGGAGCCGTCCATCTGGATCGGCATCTGCTCCGTCTGGTCTACGGTCTGGAGGCTGAGATCTATCTTCTTCTTCTTGTTCTGGTCGTAGCACTTGCTGATGCGGAACAGGCGCACCTGATCCCAGGCCTCCTCCAGCGAAGCTTTGCAAAACCATTCCTTGTACCACAGGAGCAGCTCCTCGTAGGTTTTTGTCCCCAGACTGTTCGTACGCTCTAATAGCGTGCTGAGGAACCCACGAAAGATATGCAGGTGAGGAGGACCCAGCTGGTGGCCCCGACACGCATCGCGAACGTTCTGGCTGTAGTTCTGGCCCTCGACGCGGGCGGCTTCTATCTCGGGCAAGGTCGTCTCGAGGAACCACGTGTCGATGCCGAGGGCCCACAAGTCCCGCATCATCTGGGTTGTCATGAGCACTTGTTTGATAAGGACGGACACCACGTTCTGCTGCTTCTTGTTGAATCCTGTGTCGGCTAGCGGGCCGAGACCGTTGTTCCGATCCTTGCGTGGCTTTTTTTGCTTGCCTCCCCCGCCAGCGGGGGGTGGTCCAGCTGCGCCCTGACTGCCTGAGCCTGCAGAGCCTTGCGAGGGAGGGGCGCCTTTCGCCTTCTGCTGCGGGGGAGCCTCGGAAGCGGCACCTCCATCTTTCCTCTTGAGCGCCCAGGCAGGCTCCATCGACGTCATCACGAGGGCGCGGTGGAGGGGGCAAGTGACAATCACGAATATGAAATTGAAGTTGAGCCAAATTCTCGTACGACGTGTCACCACAAACAGGGCACTTCAACGGCACACTCACGACAGGATATATGGCATGGGCCGAACTCACACCACAAGTACCCGTGCGAAAGGCGGCCTGCACGTGAGATTTGGCCGATCTCCGAAACGCAAACGTTTGCATACAGCACGGGCATTGGTTGGTAACGGCACACTTAAGAATGTTCGACGTCTTGCCGTGCATGCCGCCCTTCGTGAACGTGTTATGCATCGTGAGTGCTTTACGTGATCTGAATACCGCGCCACATTGTGTGCCATCTTCGTTCAGGCAGGTGCATTTGTAACGTAGCTCAGCCATACCCCAGCCCTCCTCCTCGCCAGGGAACTCACCAAGGTCAATGTCAGGTCCCACGGCCCCCAGTTGGTATAATTTCCGAAATGCACTAACATCCACATTAAGATATCTATGTTTGACATAATCATCCTCAAAGAGCCTAGTAAGAGACCTCCCCCAGATATCCATCCAATCCTCCATATTAGTAAGTATTGACAAGCACGCAACATCACACACAAACCGATGGGCAAAAGGATTCGCGTCATTCGTGAGGATGCCGTCGTTCATCGTGTCATACTTTTCAAATTCAAATCGACCGAATAGAATCGCAATCACCTGCGTGTGGTCCTCGGGGAATCAGATCATCGCTTGATACCATCGAAGCCGCTGTATCAGTAATTCGTATCGCGTCGGGATGAGACCGAACCATAACCACAATCGCCGAGAGCTCCAGGAGACAGGATGGGGGCCTTTCCATTCACAGGCTGCACCACGAGCAATCGACCGAATCTTTCGAAGCAGGCAGGCGTCAAGTTCACTTTGCTGAGCGGTAGACAACATAAACGGGGTCAGGCCAGAGAGAAGGGCTCCCTGGACCACACTGACAAAAATCAATCGTTTCACCTTCCAGGGAGCCCCGCTGCCCCAAAAATCCTTGTACGCACACCAGCCCCTTGCCGCTGCATGTTTGGCTATCACGATCTGCGGTCCAAGCGTACCGGCAGGCATGAACAGCGGGCCCAAGTAGCGAGCGTGTGGGAGGACGCGGGCGCCTCCCACAGGGGAAGAGCAAAACAGCCGATTATCGTAATACCCCTTCAGCCAGGGCACCAAGACTGGCTTCTTCAAATTCTGCTTGTAGCCGTACTCAGACAGGATCTCATCCGTCAGCATTTGTTCAGCAGCCACAGCTTCGATGGCTTCTTGCAAACGTCCTGAGGACAACAAAATAAAATAATGCAGGTCGTCAACGTACTTCGACAGAGATGCATCAACAGGGTCAGGTAATAGAGGGCACCTGACCAGTAATTGAGGCTGTGGGGACCGATGGCGCCACACATTGATTGGCTTTTGAAAATTCATGCGGAATTCATCAGGCGCCGAAGTTTCCTCCATCAACGCCCCCGTGGTAAGTAATAACTGAATGTCACCATCCACAGCCTCAATGTGAACTACGTGCGTGCATCGACAATCCTGCAGTAAATTAGCGTCAGCATATGGTAAATATTCATGTAGCACTTCATCCAGTCGTTCGTGCGAGCAGCAGCCGTATGCGTTCGTCATGTCGTCCAATATTGCAATATGATACTTACGTTCTCGTCGGAGACGCCAGGCAGTAACATGCACGGCCAAGATCGCATTTTCACGTCGTCGATGTGGTACACAGCCTTGATCAGCACTTGAGGGGAAAGAAAAGGGGACACTTTTGTAGATACCTCTGCACACAGCGCGAAACAGCGGGCAAAGTCCATGAAGGTAGCGGGTTCCCCCGTCAGGCTTGGGGGTTTGCCATACGTTGGAGTAGCTTGCACAAGCGGGGAAACGACCAGAGAGTCTCCAAGCTGTCGCCAGAGCTGCAAATATTGAACAGATAGCCGTCGTGTCAGGAAGAGTAGGTTTGGCACCCAGACCAGCAGTAGATATCTTCTTCTTGCTAAAGTAGTTGGGTGCCAGCAACATTAACCAAATCTCGCTAGGTAGGCTCCAGCGAGGGACAGCTCGTCGGCGGGATGCCTTCTTAAGTACAACAATCGCCCGTTCAAGATCACGGGCTCCTTTTTCCTGACACGTGTCTCGATCAGAAAGTCCCATGAGAGGCATAGTATCACGTCGAGTCTCCAATTCAGTAGGGTCAATTGCAATAGCCCCAAGGCCACCACGCGCACCAGGGAGAGACAGCATGTCTTTAAGGTCCTGCACGCATGGGGCTTTTTTCCTCACAGCGTTGTACATGCGGCGCTTGGGGCCCAGTCCAGTGCCTGCCAACCGTCTAGATAGATATTGCACAGTGGCCAATTGTCGTTTCTTCCACGCCTCCGCCAGCTCCTCAGTCCAAGTAGAATGTAGTAGCCGTCGCCATTTTCGTACACGTCCTTTAAGTCGAGCAGAGAGGTCCCGAATTTGGCTGTCATGATGTTGGTGCGGGAGGCTCTGCTGTCGAAGTCGGCCGCGTAGATTGATGAGCTGTCGTACGTCTCTGCGTAGTTGCGTCGTGTGTGCATCAGGTGCTGTTTGCGATCTGGCAAAATATTTCTCAGCGATGGGGAACAATACTTTGCATAGTTCACGGTATCCATTCTCAATCACCGGAGCCTCCAAGTAGCTAAGGATGGTGGCTTCTGAACGTCGCAATTGGAGAGCAGCCTCGGCAAGGAACTCTTCACGAAATCCTGGTGTCTGTACGGCAAGGGCAAGCAGATCTTTGTTCCAGCACACGGCCCGCCGCGGCGAAACCGATGGTAGGGACAGTTCCACCTGCAATAGCATCGGAGCATGGTCAATGAGAAAGCCACTGCCAGGATATAATTGAAGCTGCCGTGCCAATCTCGTCATGGTTAGGCACTTGGTCATACGACGGCGCAGCCCAGCAGGCATAGCAAAATGGTCGATCCACGACACCGAGTTCTTGAGTCCGTAATATGACGGCGTGGTCCGCACGAACGTGTCAGGACAGCACATGTGGTGCCTCTGGAGTACTTCTCGAAAAGCTCGCCCAGCATATCCCATTCGATGTTGCGTGAATGGTCCAATGGCAGGGTATTCAGAGGCGTTGTCAGCACTAAAAGAATCGTTGAGATCAGAATACAGTAACGGGGTGGACCGATATGGTAACGCAGTAAGTTCATCGTTCAGCCAAGCCAGTAACATGTCCACAGTCTTCTTCCAAGCACCGTATGCCCTGCCGAGGAGGAGGAGGAGGAGGAGGAGGAGGAGGAGGAGGGAGAGGAGGAGGGAGAGGAGGGAGGAGGAGGAGGAGGAGGAGGAGAGAGGAGGAGGAGGAGGAGGAGAGGAGGAGGGAGGGAGGAGGAGGAAGGGAGGAGAGGCGGGGAGGAGGGAGGGGAGAGGAGGGGGAGGAGGAGCCCCCCTGGAGGCCGCATCGGGCGCCCGCGGAGCCCCCCCCCCCCCCCAGAGGCGGCCGCGACCAGCGCCGGCGGCAGCCGCACGGAGACCGCGGCCGCCCGGCTGGCTCTCTCGGCCTGCCGCGCGCGGCGGGGCTCGGTGCCGCCGCGGCTGTGGCGCACGAGCGACGAGCGCGGTGGCATCCGGGTGGCAGTGTCGATCGCGAAGGCCTCACGGCCAGTGCCGCCGACCCTGCAGGGGGACGACGGCAACGGCGGCGACGACGACGGCGCCGACGTGGGTCAGAGCCCTCGTGGATGCTTCTTGGGGTCCAGGGGGCAGTTCTGTTTTTGTTTCGGGGCTCGGAGTCGGCTGGGGTCTGAGGTGGCCCAGCACTGGTTCGTTCTGGCCCGCAGGAAGGGGGAGCCAGGCTCGAGGTGCCGGGCTCCAGGGGGCAACTTGGATTCGTTGGCTTACGCCGCGCCGCCGACCCTCTTGGAGCCCTCTTGGGGGCCTCTGGGGCTATCTTGGGTCGATCTTGGAGGCCTCTTGGACTGTCGTGAGCCTCGTGGACGGCCAAGAGGCGAATGTGCTGCACATGTATGGTTTCCCTCGGACGAGTTTGATTAGGCTTATCCCACATCCGCCGACCCCTTGTTATGTTTTGTTTGCCGAGATCCGCTTCCCAGGTCTTCTCTGGAAACTGCGGCCCTTGGGTCTTCTTGCATCCCACTTGGGGGCCTTTTGAGCTGTCTTGGACGCGATGGGAGGACAGGAGGCACATGTATATGATATGCCGTGGTAATGGCGGCTTGGGCCCCGGGTCGGCACACTCTCCGAGATCACCCTTCTTGGGCTCACGACTTCTTCCCGGGCCGTCTGGGCTCCTAGGCGGGTATCCGAGGGCTACGACGCCAGGGGAAACAGGGAGAGGAGGGAATGATTGAAAGGGAGGGAGTTGGTCGTTGTTTCTGTTTGGGGGCCAAGGGAGGGAAATGACGATAGAGGCGGCGGATCGGACTGCCTGGGGTGGCATTGTCGCTACGGCTGGACTCCGTGAGAGTGTCTCGTGGCCTTCGGCC